AAAGTGAGGAGTGTGATGGGTAGTGCCCTGATATGATTACGTGAGTGGCAATGATTAATTGTGATTGAAGCATGTGGTCATCAGTAAATATTACTGTGTCACAAACACACACTGTGTGACACTTTATCAAAATGAAACATTTTATCCATAATGGAATGAGTAATGCCGTATAAGCACGTTTGTTTGTTTGTTTGTCAAAACGAGAATACGTATAAGTATGTTAAGCCAATATACTAATGGAGAAGTAATAGGAGCGGATATAGCAACTGATTGAGCAGTTATAGGACGAAACACGAAATACATATATGAAATGCTGAAGGAGAAGACCAAAATAAGATATACAAAACACTGACTGAATTGACCGCAACAATCAGTCCCCTAGCTGATGCCTAACTTACTGTGCATTTGGTAAAACAGTAAAAAAAAAGTGATTAGAACAAGATGAGTGAAATGAAGTCTGCGCTAAAGATGTTACCTACCTAATAGGAGGAGGGCAGTAATGAAAGCTTTGCACATAAACTATCCAGCTAGCTAGCTAGCTCAGAGAACACACAACTACATCAAAAAATTTACAAACATAAAATCACACAACGCATCAGTGTGTGTGTGTGTTTGTGTACTGCCAGAAATCTGAATTATACTAACAAAATCGAACTCACTTGTTCTTCATAATCCCCTGCTGTAGTACTTCCCACTACCTGAGATAATCCAATATTGATGCTTTCATCCTTCATAATGTCACCAATATCATTATGAAGTCTATCTGATACAGGTGTATTGTTAGGCTGAATTTTTTTATTCTTATGGTTAGACAATTTTTCCAAACGTTCTCTTTCTTCTCTGGCTAGGCGAACTCTTTCTTTCCGAGCTTCACGTTCAATTGCTTGTTCTCTTGCTTGTCTAGCCATATCAGCGTGTACACGTGATTGTAGTGTGGTTATTTCTGATTCAATATAGCTGAGTAGCCATCGTAAACCATCACGAATCGCTTTATCTAATTTTTTACCAGGTAATAATAAAGCACAGCAATACTCCTGAAAAGAAGAAGAAGAAGAAGAAGAATAGTGATAGTGTTTATTAAGAACAATGGTATTTAATGATGAATACATTAAATTCGTTAGTGTTAATTATTACGAATTGGCTGAAGAAGCTGGCTGGCAGCGAAGACAGGACTGACTCCATCCAGGTGAATATATAGAAGGTGGAGACGGAGGTGATGTAGACAACCGACCAACCAACCAACAGCAACAACAACAACAACAACCAGCACTAATCACCGTCAACGGCAGAGATTTAACGGAGTTTACTTCCTTCATTTGTCTGGTGGCTAGGTAGCATCATTTCAACTACAGGCGGATGGCACGGATGAAGATGTCAAAGCCAGTAAAAATCGGAAAGACAAGCAAGATACACCTTAATCAACCTGAAACCAGTATGGAAATCTTCTTTCACTCCCCCAGCATAAGGAACAAGATTCGCATTTTCAACACCAAAGTCAAAATAGTCTTCCATACGAGTCAGAAACTTGGCCAGCGTATCAGAAAAGGATTTCCAACAGGTTCAGGCTTTCATCAATAGTTGCTTTCGCTCTAGTGAAGGTCAAACCAGCCGGCCAGAATTAATTAGAATAAGAAACTTTGCATTGGAACAAACCAACTGGCAAGAGCCGACTGCTCCACAAATTTGTAGTGGAAAATGGAGATGGATTGATTGGGCATACATTGAGGAGGAGACCGTCGAATGACATGGTGCACAATCCATCACCCGAGTGGAATCCGAATGGGAAGGGACAGACGAGTGGGTCGTCAGTGCGAGGGTAACATGGAGAAGATCGTGTGAGTTGGGGGAGATGAGAGATTGTGGGCAATCGTGGTCTAAGCTGAAGAGGACGACAGAAGATAGTATAAAGTGGAGATGTGTTGTGTTGATGCCAGCCCTATTTTCTATTCGGAACTCAAGGGAATAATAATAGTATAATAAAGGAGAAGTGGACAGATAATCAGAGTTTGAATAAATATCATTAAAGTACGAAGGAAATGAAGAATAATAAGGGTAGAGGAGGTTTGATTAAATTACTTAGGCAAGCAAGGCAGAGACAAAGTAACAAACTTCTTTTGTTGTTGCAAAGACACTAGGATTGTTCTCTCGAATTAATTCCCATAGCTTCTTCAGCTATGTGTAAAAGGCGAGGTGGAATTCTATTCGAAAGGCTCGATGGAATGCGATGGATAACTCTGAATGCACCACTTATGTCGACTTGGTGACCGCTGTCATCATCATCATCACTAAAATGAGTCAACATAGAACTTCTTATAGATTTTATTTGGCCTTTTCTGAACCACGAGGGAAATAAGATGCTCATTAAGGGTGCATTTGTTCAGCTGTCTAGTTGTTGTTTGCCCTATATAGCCAGCTTTCTCCATAGGAGCAACTAAATTTGTAGATACACAGAAAAGTGGCACAACTAGACAGCTTGTCTTTCGCTTCAGCAATCATAATTGGTCGAAAGCTGGGAAATGACAAACAAAGCATGATGGTGGCAGTGTATAAGTCCGTTTTATTGCTCTCGATAATTACAGATATAAGACTTCACTAGCCACATCCCCATTAAATTGCAATTTTACGAATAGTTGTTTCTTTTTAACTGTGTTGTCAGTTTCTCTTTATTATAACACCTAGTGTTCATGTGTCTCCTTAACTTATCATTATACTCATCGTTATTACTGACGTTCAAAACATTTACCACATTATTATTATTATTATGATTTGATCCACAAACTCACCGTCATTGGTTAAATTTTGTTTTATACATAAATCTATGTACATTAGAGTAAAGCCTGAAGAAAATCTAATTGAAAACAACAATATTGTTCGCTTTTATTGTCTTGTTCTAAAAACAGCATGAACGGTCTATTTAACTTGTTTTTGATTCAAAATGAACTTAATATCGTTTACTCAAACAATTTCAAGTTTGTTTACAATTCAAAATTGTCATATTTTTAAGGATTATACGTCAAGGTACTGTACATTGATACCAAATACAAAACAAAGTTTCCGTTATCAATCTCTCCCTCCCTCCGACCTGCTGCATAAGATTTTAAAACTGTGGTATTATCCCATCATCCTATATTGTATGGTTGTGTGTAATTGCATGTAGTGAGTGCCATAGCTGAACTATTCTCCAGATTTCTTATCTTATTCAGGTCAACTAATCTAGATTTTTCTGCCAGATTTTTATGCTGCGCTAGTCTGACTGACTGACTCTGTTCTACTACTTTGACGTATATATTTGACCTGACAATCATTGCAGGCATGGTATAAGATAAACTAAATTGTTTCTCAAGTATTGGTTTGTAGAGATTTGATTGATTGGTTGCAGGATTTCATCATGAGGTGACGTTGGTTGGTTAGAGAACCATTGGGATACCACCTGGGAGCACTGGACAGCCAGCTGTCTCGTCAGCCTAGCTTGGGACTAGCTGTCCAGCGGTACGCACCCACTCCACCACCTGGGTTTGAACCCAGGACTTTCTGGTTACACAGCAAGCTAGCCCGTAGACCACTAAGCCATGGGGACCCGATCCAATGTCCAGCCAGTCCATGAATTCCAACTTCTGCCAATTCAAGAGATAGGGTGACCACTAACCTATGTCTTCGGAGAATATTTGTCCTCACACCCGACCTGCTGCACCCTACTGGTCACCCCGGTGGGTGCGTACTAGTAAAGAGTCCCAAACTAGGATCAATTAGCTGTCCAATACTCCCAGGTTTTCCAATGGTTCCCCAAACTGTTTTGTTTTATTGGCTTCGCAGGATCCTTCAACCGATAAAGCTTGTTTCTAATGGAGTTTGTGGGTGGTTTGAATGCTAGCCACGTTTATTCCTCTGCCATCAGGTGGTTTCCGAGGTTGTTTCTTTGTATGGAAGTACTATTGATGATTTTTCCTATGTTGGTGCTGTCATTATCATGTGCATGTTTGACATGCATACCGTCCTTACTATTACTATTGTTATTATTATTATCACTATCACTACTATTATTGTTTATTTTATTTTTAAATTTCCCTACATACCTCCTGGTTAATTTATCAGGGTAATTATTAATTAATTTTCAAAGCTCCTCTTATATATCTCACTTCCTGTCCTAGATTTTCCTTGGTACTACTTAGTTTCTCTGCCCTAATGTCACTTAAACCAGTCCTATCGGTTTGAATGTGTGGGTTTCCTGTAAGCACTAGTGTGTTTAACCTCCCATCTTCTTCCCTTTTTACGCTACAATTTAGCATTGGAAGCCCCCATTCCTGACTTTCCAATTCATAAGTGAATTGAATTGCCTCCACCTTTGAGGTGATGTGCTTGTTTATGGAACAAACTGAAAACACGTGCAATAGGAATGATTCAACACCTGTCCACGTTAACACTTGGAAAATTCTACTACTACTACCCCGGCGATGACAAATAGGAGAGAACAAAGAAAACTTTAAAACTCAAGTTTCGAAGTTGTGTGTGTGTGATTATAATTGATGAAATGATTATGAACAGTAAATCAATTGTGTTCGAAAGGCGTCGTCATCCACTGATGAATAATACTACTGTTTCAGTGACTGACTGACTGACTGTGTGTGATATATCTAATAAACAAACTAATATGGAAATACATACTACAACCACAGTGCTGCCCAAGTTTTACACATATACTAATACAAAAAGTAGACGATTTAAGCTTACCAGTCGACAAGGACAGTGGTATTGATTGACTAAATCATCCAACTGCAGGGCTGCTATCAGCTCTGATTCATCCAGCGCATCTTTAATATCCCGTTTATTCGCCAGCCTAAAATGATTTTCAAATATAAATTTAGTCCGTCATACATTGGTGTATTCAAAAACTTACAAAAGAACTGGTTTACCTGATATACACGGATGAGCAAGAAGGTTGCACAACACTTCATGACATTCTTCAAGTCTTTCTGGTGCACTTGAATCTACGACAAATATAACTCCATAGACTTCAGCGAAATACGTCTCCCATATATCACGTATAGTTTTGCCACCACCCAAATCATAAAGGTTAATATTAAATCGATCTATAGCGAATTCGATACGATCGAAGCCAATTGTTGGGGCGACTAATTCACTTGAAACTTTTTATGATGTAACAACTAAGAAATCGCAATTATAACTTACCTCCTTTGATACTGCGCGTTGTTGTTGTCTTTCCAGCATTATCTAATCCCAAGATGACGAGAAAAATTTCTCTGTTAATGGACAGAAAGCAAAAAATACAAAAGCACTTAAAATAACTACTACATGGACAGGACAATATTATACACATTTTCACAGCTTCGTTTCTCTCCAGTACAAAAGAAAGTTAATAAGGAAACTCACTAAGCTACACGGTTAGAGGTATATGCTCAAAAGAGTTTACTGAAGATGAACTAAGCATTGATTGTGCCTCCTTGATTGAAAATAGCTCGCTATCCCGACAAATTCATCAAGAAACACATGAAAAGAAAGCGGAAAAGGACTACCTATTATTTGTAAACAAGAAGCCTTTATATGCATACGACTTCAATTCAACGGCGATATACCTAGAGAAATAATTACGAAGAAGTTAAGAAAGTCACTTCAAAAAACTTTTATTGCTGGCAAACCAACAGTCTTATTTTCTACATGACCAACCGGTGGTGATTCCTCAATTCAAAGATGAAGTACCTAGACTACACTAGCCACTTCTCTAATAGTATCTACCAGTTCAACTGCACGTATGGTTGAGCAAGTTATATTGGCCACAGAGGAGGATCAAGACAAAGCCCTTCAAACTGCAGGCCTAATAGTCTCACCAGCACTTTAATCAAGGCACTGGAAAGAATCATCAAGAAAAGTATAATGGCATATCTGGACAAAAATGTAACTTGTTATCCAGAGCGAAGCATAGATTCCGAGGAAACCATTCATGACTGTCAAATCTCTTCACTGCAATAGAAAGTTGAGTCAAATCAAGGGACAACAATAGACCCGTTCACATCGGCTCTCTAGACTTCATCAAAGCCAGTGACAAATTTCCCCACAAAAGACTACTCATGAAGATGGAAACTCTTGGTATCGAAGGCAGCATATTAATCTGGATTAGAGAACTCCTCATAGATAGAAAGCAGAAGGTCGAAATCAACTCAAAACTCTCCTCCTGAACAACAGCGCGTAGTGGAGTACCACCAGGCACGGTATCCGGACCTCAACAAATTGTCAGAGTGGTCCAGAGAATGGATGCTCCCCATCATTGTAGCGAAGTGTGCAACCATGCGCACTGGACACGCAAGCATCAGCTCTTACGAAATAGAGCGAATAAAACTACCATCACTTCAGACTCATTTGGATTTAGGTGTCATGGTAAGTCACAACTTAAAAATTACAGCACATTGTTGCGCGGTGGCTGCACTTAGTTTCAGATCCTTATGGGCAGTTCACAGAGCACTTACTACAATCATAGAATATCCTCTTATATACATCTATCTCTGGTGAGGTCAAGACTGGAAAACTGTATCCAGGCAACCAGCCAGTTCTTGTCTTAAAGGGGACTCACGTATTCTAGAAAGAGTTCAAAGGAAGGCAACAAGTATGATTCCTGGCATTACTAAATCATCATACAAGGAAAGACTAGACAGTTCAAATCTCTTCTTCCTGTCATACCGTAGGCAGAGAGGCGATCTAACTACAATGTTTAGAATTTTAAATAATGACTATGAATGTGATCTATTCTCTCTTTTCCTTCCCACTAGGTGGTCGGAACACCTTAGGGGACACAGCAGGAGGGTTCAAAAGCCAAGGAGAAACCGTATTGCTGTTGAGTACTGGTTCTCACACTGAGGCATAAACTCCTGGGACCGACTCCCAAAAGAAGTGGTGTCTGCAACCTCAATTGATTCATTCAAGAAGGGTTTGAAGAAGAAGATTCCTAGAAGATTACACAGCTCAAGCCTTCTATCTTTAACCAATAAATCTGAAATTGGCGTCGAATCCCTCCTTTACCAAATTCACCATTACTATCAAATTTAATAGAATCCGGTTAAATTAATTACAGCCAATCTTTGTTGATAAGAAAAACATTTTTTGTCTAACGAGTTAAGCTAATGAACTAATTAAGTTCTGAAAAATATTAAAGTTTTAAAATCTGACGATTTTAACAGAAATCTAAGACTGACTTTAGAATTACAGTGTCACTATGCTGATGCTAAATTACTTCAACATTTGACAATCATCTTTTCAAGTACCACAGATGAATTAAAATGAATCACACCCTCATACATTTATAACCAGAAAATTTGCAAATGAAGTAAACAACTTACAAGTTGTTTCTCTGTTTGCGCCTAACAAATGGAAAACAAGATGACATGCCCATGCATGCTTCACAATCCAGACAACTGCGCTTTAAATACCTCAAAATGCTTTCATCAATTATATACGAATAGGTGCCTACTTTTTGTTTACTGAGTATAGCATAACAACATGGAGTAAAACAAAAACGCACCTCATTTATCTAGTATGGAATTAGGAATGAAATTTTTCGACATAAGACATCTCTGATGTTTCCAAACGAATAACTTTTTGGGATATTCATGCGATATGGTAATGGAGATGCCCAATATTCAGTACAATTTTGAAGAGGATACTTAAACGTACTGCACCTTGGAGTCCTGTTCTCGGTGTTTCAAAAAGATTCTACGTATTGGCATATTCAAGTGTGGTCTGTTCATCACTTCGACTATCGTATCTCTGCTGACCACACCAAGCGACTGGGAGAGACCTAACACTGGGAAATATACATGGTTTGTTCACTGCCGCAACTTTCCCGTGAAATTTTGCCAGAAAACTCCACACTGGAAAAGGCAGTAGACAGTAGAAAGGAAATGAATGAGAGGGCTAGAGAATTCCATGTGTGACAGGAAATTAGAAGAAGAAAACGTGAAAAACTATACAGCATTCACGAGATAACGCGAACAAAATCATTTTCTACGGGTAACTTTTCTGTGACTAGAGAGAGTGTTTAGATCTTTGTGTGAATATCTCTACTATTTCTCAGTATTCTTCGATCATAGTTCATCAGAGTCTGTGGCAGTTACTTTGTCAAAAAATCCATTTCTGGAATAAAGCAAATTATTATTATTTCGTTAGCAGCTCTTCTATACAGGACAAGATAGCGTGACATCCGACTTAGTGTTCCTGCAAATAACCAATCCAATATAACTATCTTATGTCCAGTAAGTTTAAAAGGGTGTTGATGTGAATGTTTCTACTAGCAAATAGTCATCACTAAGAATATAATACATTTCTGAAGACTTTCCGTAGAGCCCAGCCTAGCATCTCTCCAAAGGTCTGAATCGATCAGGCATTCCTCATTGTGTGAAGCGAGTTTGATTTTTTCTTAAGCGAATACCTCCATCAGGTCTGGTGAAGATGCACTGAATTTTCCAGCATGATGACTTTGTCATATTCTAGGTTAAGTTGTATGGGATAAAAGAAGTTTGTCAAATCAATTGGACCTCAGCCTTTTCCCTTCAAAGAATAACTTGTTTATCCGTGCAGATTGAAACATATGGTGGTTCATATAACTTTCAAAGGACAAGAGCTCGGCAGCCTGATTGGGGTGTGGTTGTGTGCTCGTGCACTCTGCTCAAATCATCGTCAATAAATCCACCTTTCAGCAGCCGCAAACGATTTGTTCTCCTTCCCCTAATTGGAGTGGCTTTAGGAGCAGCCTGGCTACCAGGATAGGCAGATCAAGCCGAAAGGTTAGAAGGTAGTGTGGTGATAGCTCAGGCCTAAAAGAATTGCTGGTCACACATCGATGGTGAGCGTTTTACATGGTCGAAACCAACTGAAAACGAGTTAAAATACTCAAGCAGCCTAACTTATTGGTTTCCTAAAGTGTATCTCCCTCACTGTGGTCGTTGACAGATACCAGACGATAAATAATTAGTGTGGCGGTTGGTGAATTGCTGCCATTGCATACCGTTGCTCGTACTAATCTGCTTCGCCTGTTAACTTATACGGCAACTCTACCCTTTCCCTTATGATCCCAGTGCCACCTAAGGACATCAGTATATCCTAGTAATTAGTGGTGGGAATTAGTCAGGGTGCTGTCAGCCTTGCTACTATGAAGTTCAGGATTGCACTTTTCTGAATTCTGCCACCCTGCCTTACATCCCTCTCACGTTCTTGTCTGTGCAGCTGATTTCGAGTCGTACCACCTAGCTTTGTTGTAGGGTGGCTGACATGGAGTACTCTATCTACTGAGGATTTAATGCAAAAGCTAATTGGCCAGTTCAGATGGAAACGACCTGTCGCCTTTCTTTCTCCAGGTTCTAATGAGAAACTTGGTCTTCGGCTGCTGTCTTCCTCAGTGTTACACTGCTGTGGTTTAACTGAGGCCTGAGGACGCAATGTGACCTCAGTTTCCTGCTTCCTTAAGGTCCAACACTGGCTTTCGCAACACCGAATACATCCACTAACCTTATTCTTCCTCTGCCTCATTGCTAGACCACCGTAGCCCATTGCTCTCGGGAGCTGAATTTAGCAGATAGTAGCCGTGATGATTTAATCGATATAAGATGAGTGTCGTGAGGTACCCATCAGAGATTGGCAGAAATCCGCTGAGGACCATCTCAGTTGCCGTACATCACGTGCGGATTCTTCTCATGAAGTATTTATCTCCGCCCCTGGACGCCACATGTGACCACGAAGGTGGGTGGCAATAATTCAGGTGACTGCCTCGCAATTAGCCCCAATGTGCATGCCCTGTTGGGTCATATTGGCACATAGGTAGTTTGATCCACAACTAGGACTCATGATAGTGACAATGTATCCTCAATAGTTCAGAAGAGTTCCATATTTTTGAAGTAAAAAGTTGTGTGAGTGACTCGATACGATTTTGAACAATAGTTCGTGCTCGAAAAGTCATCAGTTAATATTACTGTATAACACTGTGTGATTCATCAAAATAAAATCTTATCTATAATGGAATTCCGTGTTTACCTTAAGATGCCTCAGAATCCTTGAGAGGAAGATAAAAAACGAGGAATAGAACAAGTGCATGTGGAATGAATCAATTAAAATGATACAGTGCCATGTAACTGGAATTCTTCAGTGACTTGTAAGAACTTGTTGGTATAGAGCAATTACCTAACTCCATCATAAAGGAGGGGAGTTCTATAAGCGAAAACTACAAGAGGAAAAGAAGTCAAACTGCATCTTTGCTACTACACACCATTGCCAACAGTATTCAGCATTCAGTATCGTTTTTACGAGCTAGTGTAAACCAATTTGACTTCTTTGTGCTCGCCTCTTGATTGTGAGGTAAGGGTTACTGGTCTTCGGTAAACGTCCGCATAGCTCGTCAAGCCACTCGACTGTCGTAGATTTCGTTGACTCCAGAAGCAGTGCTGATCGAATTAATTATATGTTGTTTGTTGTATGCGGTGTGTTAAGATCCTTACTACTGCGAAAGCAGTCGATCCTTTCAACAGTTAGTTCTCCAGTATCGTCGACAAAACAAAAGGTATAATAATAATTTATATTTCGTATAAAATTTTGTTTACAAGAAATGCATGCCATTTTTCCAAGCATATTCAATTATGTTATAAATTACAATCCTGAAGTATCGTAAATTAATACTTTTTCAAAGGTTTAAATTGTTCATTTATTGTACAAGCAATCGGCTGGACTTATCCGGCATGTTGGTTGAAATTTCGCTCGGCAAATTTGTTTTGTCAATAGTTTTTAATAAAATTTTGTTGTATGTTTTCTGGATTGATAGGAATTCTCATTTCCTGGCTAGTTATGTTGGTGTCTGCGTCATTTAATCTGACTGCGACACACTTAGCATATTGGTTGTAATGATTAGTGTTTCATGCTGAATGCGTCAAAACATCTCTACAATGAAGAATATGGGGTAGTTCGGGGGTAATGTCATCTACACAAATAGTTTATTTCTTGTAGAAGCTGCAGCTTTCGACATAGTGTCATTCAATGAAGACTACGTCAAAATGTGGCTATTTTCGTGTGAAGAACAGTACTATTTTACAAAAGAATGCTACAAGTACATGGGAATCACCTATAAATGCCAACAGAACATAAAACCAATGTGTAAACGAACGACTATGGAACTGCAATCCAACATAACCGACTAACATGGACGAAAATGACCTTTGGGCGTCACACTCCATCAATGACCTTGAGCATGCGGGATAATTTCAGCCTAAGCAATCATAACAGGTCCTTATAATTGTTAAATTGTAAGCACATCACTAACGTCATCATCAAAGTCGAGCGACAACCCAAACTTCGTTTCGTTTCATGCTGATAGTTATGGTGAATCAGTAAACAGCGTATATTTGGGAAAGTGCTATGCCGCCACTTGATTAAAAGCTATTTTAGGAAGAGAAGAACGTCCTGGGAAACTGCAAAATGGCATAAAATACAATCATGGATAATACATCATTGAAAGAACATTTACAAGATATATACGAGAAAGATGTGGAGACTCCTTCGAATGATAGTATATATTTGCAATGTTTAATGCTAACCATATTGGTCCAAGCATGGAAACTATGAGGTTTTCAATGAAAATACAGCTTTGTTAAAACATTGGTGTTGTTGTGTTTGTAATCAAAGCAAACAGAATTTAAGGAAGCAACAAATATGAACAAATAGTAAGTTTTTGCTTCGATAAAGGTACAGGTAGTTAAGACAAAATAGAGTATAATAGTACGGGGATAAAGGGTTATTGTGAAGTATGTAAGTGACATTCAAGTGAAAAGTGGCTTCAGAGATTTAAAGGATTAGAACCTGAAGAACATGCTGACCTGTAAGATGTCTCACGGATTACAGTATATCCAAGTGGGGTAGCATCTTGACAAGAAGCTGAACAGGCTTGTAGGTGTAAGGAGCAAAATCATTTATTTACAATTTAGATCTAAACAAACCTTATTCTTTCTCTTTCTTTGTTAAGAATCCAGACTAATGTTTAATTCTCGAGCTGTCAAAAAATGCGTCCTGCTGTCCTGCAGATTGAAGCGATTGACATTTGTGACCACTAACTTATCTGCTGACCAGCATCCGCCACCATCTCTGCTTTTCTTATGTTAAGCTCTGAGATTTTTTGGCAATAATTGTATTTGCAGCATTGCATTGTTTTTTATCCGCCCCTACCATACAGTATGCAGTGCATTAATGGCTTTCATTACAAGCGCTTCCCATTAGGTCACCAGATAAATCGATACCTGAGGACATTCTTAGCAGCATTATCTTTATACATGCATACATATATATAAATATTTGTTACAAACGACTAGGAAACTGAGTGTACTTTAAGAAGTTTAAAGTGTAGTAGTTAAT